CTCAAGAGCTTGATTATCCAGAAGCATCTAAGAGTCATATCCCTGTCTCCGGCTCAATCAAATCAATTAAGACTTCTTCCTCTATTACTCCACCATACTAAGCATGTTTATGGTTCTGCTATCCATAACAAAAGAAAAATTCTCCAATCCATTCAATCTCTTGTTGTGCTAGATCTAAGTTTAAACTTAATCTGGTTACCAATGCTAAATCTGAGGAGGTGTAATGGAAGCATAGGTCTAAAGTTCTTTAGCTTAATGAAGGAGATAATAACGCTACATTTTTCCATAAAATTGCTTCCTATCGTAGAAGAAAAAAAAATTTTATTCCTCATCTTCTAGTTAATGGTTCTCTTATCACTTCTGAAGTCAGAAAAAAACTTTCTTAGATTATTTCTCTAATCTCTTTTCAATCAAGACACCTCCTTCTTTTGCCTTAGTCTGGTCCTCCATGTATCCTGATTCCACAGATGGCTTGTTATCCTTGGATGCCCTCTTTACCCAAGATGAGATTAGGGTTGTTGTCTTTGGTCTCCACCTAGACAAATCCCCAAGACCTGATGGTTTTCCTATCATGTTCCATTAATACTTTTGGGATGCTATTAAGGAGGATATTTTCTCTTTCTTTGACGCATTATATAATGATGCCTCCTCCCTCCACTCCATCTATTTTTCTTTTATTACTCTCATCCCTAAGGTGGAAGGAGCATGCAAGGTCAAAGATTTTAGACCAACTAGCCTTCTTAATGGTCTCTTTAAGATTTTTACTATAGGTTTTGGCTAATAGGGTAGCATCCTTCCTTTCCTCCTTAATGGATCCCTCCCAAACTGCTTTTCAGGGTGGTAAAAACACCATTGACTGTATCCTCATAGCTCATGATCTTTTCACATGTGTGAATCTAAGAAAAGAAGAAATTTGCATGATCAAAATTGATTTTATGAAAGCTTTTGAATGCATCAATTGGAATCATCTTAGATCTCCTTCATTTCAAAGGCTTTGGTCCTAAATGGTGCTATTGGGTTTTGTTTCGGGTCTTTAAAATTACAATTGATACAGACTATAATTGGTAGACTTACAATAAAACTAAGAAAAAATTTATATTTGTTGGGAGTTCTTTTCTGTGTGCTGATAGAACATCAATTTTATATTCTGTTGATGCACCAATTAAGATGATGAGTCTTTTACTGTCGATGAGAACTTAATTGCTTGAAAGATTAGTAACCTCTTTATGCGTGTGTGTTGATTAGCACTATGTTCAATAGAATCACAAGTGCAAGATTAGTAACCTCTTTATGCGTGTGTGTTGATCTCTCTATGATCATATTCAATCCCACAAAATGAGCAATCTCCTCTCCTTTTATAGGCTAAAAGAGAGAGTTAATGGCCTTTAATTTGTTGGAGTTGAAACAACGACAACATGTGCCCTTTCGGATCTTGTGTCGAAAGTATAGCAAGCAAGAAAATCACAGAAAATAACAAAACTTGCAGGAAAAATAATAAGAAAGAGAGAACATCAGATTTAACGAGGTTCAGTAAACGTGCCTACGTCCTCGGAAGCCACACCAGAAAATTCATTTGTGATTGAAGAAGATTACAATGCCTGCAAACAGCCTCTCTCTCTCTCTGAGAACTCACTCTCAAAGTGTTCAAAAAACCCTCTCAAAACCCTCTCTTTTCGTGTACTACTTAACCCTAAAAACAAAGAAGGATTATATATATACCAAGCCCAAAACAGAAATCCAAACAAAAACATGCTTTCTGTTTTTAACGTCGTCGGTCGACTGACGCTCATCCGTTAGTCGACTAATGAGAACAGGTTTTCCGAGTGCACTGCTTGTGCACGTTCTTCAGTCAATTGTTAAATCCCTTCAATCGACTGACGGGCTCTTTCGGTCGACTAATAAGCATCAGTCAACTGAGTAGAAACTTTTAACAATTGTAGAGGGTTTCTTCAGTCGACGGGTCTTAGCGTCTGTCGACTGATCTGGGCTTCGGTCGACTGATCCATGCCCGTCGGTCAACTGATGCTGAGTTTTCCAGCTTTGTTGATTTCGATCCAGGTTTCAGTCTTCACACATCCAAAACCAACATAATTATGGCTTAAGTGACTATCAAAATAGAAGATAGTGGGGAGCGGTTATTCCTTAAAAATAGCCCTCAAATGGCTATTTGGTGGGGTTCGCTGATTTGGCGAAGTTCACTAAAGATATTTGGGTGATGCTTGCTTGGATGTGGGTGAGCCTTCTTTGGAACCGTGGATGACGTGGCCCACTTAGGTTGTTATGAGTGAAGTTCGTTAATTGGCAAACTTCATTTGTGGGTTTAAATTTAGCATATAATTCGACTTATAATTTGACCAACTAATGACGCCTTTTGACTCGACCTGGGGCATGAATTGAGAGTTGACCCACTCTTGACTTGGTTGAGTCGAGTCGAGATGGGCTGCAGCGTAGCAAGGCCTACTGTAGCTGTTTGAGGGTCAACACATTCTTGACTTGGTCGGGTCAAGTCGAGATGGGCTACGTGGCGAGATTCACATAATAATTTAAGGGACCTTCGCTATAGCTTGTTGTGGGCTTAGTTTTGGGTCCATTCGATGTATTTAACTCATGGGTGTTCACTTCTTAGATCCAAGCTAAACATTGACCTGGGTAGAAGTATGTATTTTAACCATCTACACGTACAATCTATTCTTACCTCCTCTAAGTCATCTATTCTAGTCAATGGTATACCTTCTCAATCCTTTTCTTCATCCAAGGGTATTAACCAAGGTGATCCCCTCTCCCCTATGCTTTTTATCTTTGTAGTGGATGTTCTCGACAAAATGCCTAAAGCTAGTTTTGCTGTTGGCGATCTTTTTGAGCTACATATAAAAGGTGAACTTAATGATGTTAGATTACAATTTACAGATGATACACTTGTCCTTTGTAAGGCTACTCATGAAGATATTTCTATGCTTAAAACTATTTTCTATCTCTTTGAGGATGTTTCTGGTTTTGATATTAATTACACAAAGACTAGTTTTTTCTATTTTGAGAAATCAGTCACCGAGAGGGTAGTCATCTTGCTTGTTCTCTACAATGTTCTTTTAATAAGCCTTCGTTTAAGTATCTTGGCATCCCCTTAAAACATGGATCTCTTTCTAAGAAAGATTGACAACCTACTCTTGATAACCTTTTTAAGAGATTATCCATGTGGAAAAGTAGTCATCTTTCTATTAGGGGTTGTTTGACCCTCATGAACTCCGTTCTCACCTCTATTCCTTTATATTTTTGTCTTTCTTTAAAGTCCACGTTTGCTCTTGTTAATTGGAAGATAGTGTGGCCTAAAAAAGGAGGGGGGTTTTGGTATCATCAACTTTTCTGATTTCAATTGTGTTCTTCTCTCTAAATTGATGTGGATATTATTCACATAAGATTCCTTACTTGGTCAAGTTCTCTCCTTCATGTATTCTTCTCATTCTCCTATCACTAGTTACACACCCACGAGGTCCTCTTCCTCTAAGTTTTGGCTTGATACTATCTATTCTAGTCAAGCATTAATATCTTTAATGCAATGGAACTTGAGGGAGGGTTGGAAAATTCATTTTTGGGAAGATAAGTGGTTGGGTGCTAATTCATTAGCATCTTTATTTCCCATGCATACAGACTAGCATTCTCAAAAAATGTTAGTGTGCTGTCTCAGGGTTATTTGCATGTTGACCTCTCTCAGCAAGAAAGAAAGGATGTCTTAGATCTGAAATCAATCCTTACAGTTACAAGCTTTTGTTCTTCTCCAAGCTCCTCCAAAGATGAAGTCCTTCGGCCTGTGTACTCATTAGCTAAATTCTCAGTGAAAGTCTCTCTATCAAGTCCTCAACAGTGGCGGTTCTTCCTGTGGTGCATACAAATTTATTTGGAATTCTATTTTATACATATCAAGGTTAAGATCTTTCTTTGGTTGTTATTAGGCAAACGCAAGCTCCGAACAATAGACAACCTCTCTGTTAAAGGCTGGACAGGTGATACACTTTGCTCTTTCTATAGGACTACAGCTAAAGATGCATGGAGACCCTTTATGATCAGGTTAACCAAGGTCGAATACTTGGCCGACTGGTTTTGAAAGCATCTTATTTTCCTTCGGATTCCTTCGTTACAGACAAACGAGCTTTTGTCAGCTCTGGTTTATATTATTTCCTACCTTCTGTTGGTGCGTATGGCGAGCATGCAATGATTTTAATTATTTTTAGAGAGAAACCCTTTTCCTCGCAACAGCTATCGGCTAATGTTGCGTACTTCACTATGTTCTACGTAGATAACCTGCTGAAGGAGAAGGTTGCCAGTGTAAATGCAGCAGCTATTCTTCGTCGTGCGATTCCGAGCCTGATTCGCGAAGAGGAGACAGATATGGTTGGGGATACTCTCTGTTGAGCTGCGAATATATATGCATGCCTGCTATGCATGCCTGCTCTCAGATTTTGTGTTTATATATTTACAAGATTTTTGCTTTGGGGATTCTCTCTTTCTTGTTTGAAGTTTCAAATGACGTCGAGGACCTGCCTTTGATCTCAATCAAGAACAGGTGAATAGGGCCTCTCGTCTTATTTTTTCGTCCAAAAAAAAGAAAAGATAAAGACAAATGATGCATCCGGTAACTACTCATATTAACTCCAAAATTTGTAAAAGATTACTAAATAGGTAGAAGGGGTGATTGTATTATCACATAATTTGCAACAATCAACTCTAACACCAAAAAATAAAAAATAAATAAATAATAAAGAAGCCAATGAAAAATTAAAAAAAAAGTCAGGTAAAACAATTTACAGTTCTTGCATGTAAAGCAGTTTAATTCATTCTACAAAATTCATACACCAAAAAGAATTTACTCCTCCAAATCATTGCAAACTTCCACTATAGGGAAAAAAAACCTTTCAACTTCACCAAATTTCACTTTGAGATGTGATTAAAACCACTTAAAAGATTTGGCGTCTAAATTAATTTATGAACATTTAAACACCCTAATATAAAAAATATGTAAAACATTAATACTAAAGCTGAAAAATTGAAACTTTTACATCTTACACAATCTACTCAGTTCTACAAATATCATACATCTTCATTTTCAAATTGGAAAGGAAAAACCTTCGATTATTATGAACTTTCCATAGGTACTTCTTCTACAACCCCCTTCATCTTCTTCGGCCTCCCTCTGCCACAAGACTTCATCGAAGAAACAACAGGCACCGTTGCATCCAACGACGAACAACCCTGATCCACATCGGATCCCAAATCCTCAACATTCGGCATATCCCTCACATGCCCAAGGAGCTTGCTCATATGCCATTGCACATAATCAAACCGATCCTTAGTAATTGATGATTCCTGGATTATGATCGACGCAAGTGATCTCAGAGCCAATGATCGGTAGCTATATCCGCTGCTCCTAGGAAACAAGGAACATTCACGTCTCCAACGAGGTAAAAGATATTTATCGGGCAGAACAAAGCAGTTCTTTAGCTGTAGAACTCTTAAAGAATGCCTGCAAAGTATTCCAGAGGCCTCGAATTCTTGACATGTGCATTCAATATTTTCGTCAGAATCGTTACAACTTACGAGATGACCTCCATCAGATTGTAATCTGTGTCGAACAAGGTAACTTTGTCTCGGGGTTTCGAATACAGCGAATTGGTTTGATGCGATGAGTTCCTTTTGAAACCAATCAAAGGCATAAGGTGTGAGAATGTTCAATGCTTGTTCTTCGATGGGCATGCATGTCTTAGCTTTGATATTCTGATAGTTTTGTCGCATGGTTGCTTCTTCTCCTGCTTGATTTTGGAGCTCGATTGCAACTGCCACCTACAGTAAAAAAATTCACAGAGTGATGTTAAAGAGTGGTAGGCGATAAAGGTTGCTTTCTAAATAAAAACGGTAAATCATAGAGAACCCCCTTCATCTATACCATGTTTTTCAACAACCCCCTCATCTAAAATGTTAACAAAAAACACCTCATCTCTGACCGTTGATGAAAGTGTTCATTTTATGGGACTTTTGTTCTTGAGACGTGTAGACAAACGTTTACACTTGGATAGACCTATGCATTTCAGACTTTATAGATTTTGGGAGTTGATCGAAAGAAATAGAGAAAAAACTTAGCTCTTGGACAAACCAAAAATATAATCCTTTTAACACTGACCTAAAATTATGCATGCAAACAGCTGTCCAGAAGTAGGACGAACCAATGTCCATTACGAATGTTTCGTTGATGATCATAGTTGAGGGGGTCGAAATATTTAGATGATGGGGTTTATTGAAAAAACAGGATACAAATGGAGAATGTTTCTTGTAATTTATCCCAACAGGAGAATGGAGATGTACCTGATCGATGAAATCTTTCAGATGTATCTTGGAGGTCAGGAAACCTTTGAAAAAAGACTTCATTGACACAGGCAAACCGGTTGTCAACAATCCTCCAAAGAAAAACCCACGCAAGTGAGGTAAAGCCCAATAAGTGCGATGATACCAGAGGATGCCTACATGTTTATCTAAGCTTAATCCAAAATCCACAGCCATCTGACGCCAAAGTTGATCAAATTCTTCAGGGCTCTCCAAGTTACCTAGCCTATGAAATTCTGACACAAACTTGTCATACTGAGAACCAAGTGATGCAGCAAACCAGCTTGAGAGCTTAGACGTTACATGCCACATCCCAAAGACATGTTTAGTGCCCGGCATTTCACTTATCATAGCATCTCTTAATCTTATATCAAAATCAGTCAGCATAGTTCGTGGGAATTTCCCATCCACAAGATGAAGAAATGACTGCAAAAATAGAAGTAAAGGCATCAAAGAATAGGAATACGACATCAAGAGAAGCAAGATGAAAACTTGGAAATACCTGCAAAGCCCATCCAAGGGATTCTTGTTTCTCATTTTGCAACAGAACACAACCAAAAAATATGGCATTTCCGTAATTATCAACACCAAACCAAACCCCAACAGGCCGATCATATGCATACAAGCGATAACTTGTGTCAAACACCACAACATCACCAAACACTTTGTATGCATGGATAGAATCTGGATAAGACCAAGCAATGTGCTCAAGCTTATTATTTTCATCCAATGTGAAATCATAACGAAAATCCATGTTCTTGTCTGACATAGCTTTGCAAGCGTTAAGAAGCTCAGCTCCTTCATTCTCTCTATTAATGTTTTTGGAAGCCTGAAGGAAATTTCTAAGGTCCCTTTCAGTAAATGTCAGTTGACGGGGCTTTACACCTTTTTCCACCTCAATGGTCCTCATAATAGTACCTACACTTAGCCCGTTCTTTGCAAGAGCTAGAATATGCTCTCGGTCTATTGAAGAAATATTACGATAAGCAGGGAGATGTCTAACTTCCTCACTATCCAACAACTCATGGTTATGAACATTACTAAAATGAACCACCATCCATCTAGAAACCCCCTTCGAGACATTCTTTTTTATGATCATTTGAGCCTCGCATTTGCAACGTGAAGATTTTTTATTCCTTTGACGCTTTAGTTCCGCTGTTTTTCTAGGGAGAGAAATGCCAGCTCGATGGCAGACAAGCTCGCGTTTATAAACTCCTAGAGGATGTGACGGGTTTCCCTTTGAGCGTTCTCGTCTTATTGCGAAACCATTTTTCCTAGCAAAGTTGGTATAGTATTCTTGGGCTTCATCATCAGTTTGAAAAGATTGGCCTACATATGGAGGGGTATCAACAGAAACTATTTCTTGAGGTATTTGGGTTATTGCTTGTGGGAAGCTAGGCTCTACCGATGATTCCACTACAGGATCATCATCTTCTCCTTCCACTTTAAGAATACATTTTGAGTCCCCACATGGACACTCCCGCCTCTGAGTAAGGCAACCGTTGTTTCTTGATGAGGTCTTTGTCATGCTTACTTTGTTCCAATCAGCAAACCAGCAGAATGAAAATTCCTACCACTAAATTTCATCATAAACAGCGACAATTAAAATGGCATGATCAGTGATACAAAATCAGAAAATAATTGATGAATATAGAATGCATCAGCTGTAAACAGAATTGACATAGACCTGAAATAAGGATGCTTCAAATATCAGGTTTCATGATGGTTTTGAAAATTTTGCAACTCAATGACACATTACTACACAGAATTGACATAAGTAATTGAACAATGACGATCACCAATCATGCTTATAAAGGCAATCAATTTTATCAAAGAATGCAGTATGTCCAACTAATAGTTAGTTTGTTGAAGACATGAATTTATTTATCTTTACAGACATAATAGCAAAGACTCATTTTCTTCCTAAGAATTTTCGCATCAACCTATATGGTTGATTTTAGGTTGTCAAATAGTCTTAATACATGGTAAATCGTAAATGGAGCTTTCATAATTTAGAGATGGACTCTAGGCCTAATTCCATTTTGATGGACAAAACAAAAGTTTACAATGAGTCTCAATGTCAGAGCATGTGGACAGGCCCCATACATATTTTTCAACAATAGTGACACTTCGGTCACTTGATTTTCCAAGAACCTAGGTGTGATAACTTTGGTGCCTAAGAGAGAAACCTTTATCACCTAAAACTAAAGTGAAACATTGTCAGAAAAAAATTATAGTTGATTAGATTCAGCTAATGACAACCTATGTTGCATGGGTATGGGTATGAGACACGGAAAATTCATAAAAGGTAGGGTACAGTGACAAGACTATATAAATATTTATATACACAAATGTCATATATTGGAATAAATAATTTATATGAGACCAAGTATGTGAATTAAAATTCCTATAGCATTTTTATGTTTCTATTATTTTGTGGATTATAAATTGGAAAATCACTAGTTTTTGAATTAGACATCCAAACAATCCTTTAAAATCATAATTCAGAACATAACTTATGTCCAACAAGTTTCAAGAAGTGTTTTAAATTAAAATATGTATTGAATAATTGAGTACATGCCAAAATAAATGTATAAATATATGCAGTGTATTAAATATCGACCAATATATCGCTATATCAACCGATATATTGCTATATCGACCGCTATATCGGTTTTGATGCCCTTCTAATATGACATTTATGAAAAAATGTCGTTTTTCGATTTTTACCATTTTTTTCGATACATCGGAAATATCGGCTGATATTTTATAGAGGAAATGTTTGTCGATATTGACTAAAATGAAAAGGGTTATTGAGTTTGGGTTTAGTTTTGGTTCCCACTAGACCTAAAAACTTAATAAATTCTCAAACCCAAATACCCTAAATCCCTACTCAATCTCATATTTCTCCTTCCTCTTCGTTCGGCACTCCAACTCAAAAACACTAGGCGATTTTAGGTACGAATCTCTCCTCTCTCTCCACTCTCTCTTTTCCTTCTCCAGTTCTCCTCTCTCTCTCAACTCTCTCTCAGCTCCCCCTCGGACCCCTCTGTCTCTCTTCCTCTCTCCACTCTCCCAACTTCTCTCTCCATCTCTCCTCTGTTCATGTATTCTTTCTTTCTCTCTGACCTCTACCTGTATCTAATGTCTCTAAATGTCATGTATCACTATTCATGATGCAATTTCTTATGTTTAAAATGCATTAAATATGTTTTGATTACATATTACAATGTTATATTCCATATAAATATCATCTGATATGACACCCCGATATTTTTTACATATCCCCAATTTTCGTAATCCGATATGAATTTTGGTCATCCGATACTTTCGATATTTTCGATATTTAATACATTGCATATATGCAAGGAGTGTTCAATAAGTTTGGGTACGGATACGGGTACGACTTCAGATTAGAATTACCCAAGTAATATAGATGACAACTCATGCTGCACAATATGATTTCATCACAATTCATAATCTACTTTAATTTTCTTTAAGACTCCTATATAGGTATATGTCCAAGGTTAGATGTAGAGTTCATCGACCTTTGTCAGATATTGTTGTGTAATTGGCAGAGGAACAGTTTCATGGAAGCAGAATTTGAAACTTTTTAAGGGAATAAAAAAAATTGTTTATGCTCTTGTTAAGTTCGTTCTCTGTTCTTTTACTTTATGCATGGACTAAGTTATACCCAGTAGTCCAATGTACACCACTTACAAGAAGCAGGAAAAATATCAGAACAATCATGTAACAAAAGTTCAAATCATGCCCACGGGCAATTATGCAAAGATAAAATGGAAAATAGTACTTAATGGTTAAGGTCAGGGTTTTAGGTGAGATCTTCGGCAAGACAATTGTGGATCCCTATTTCTTGATATTTGGACCTAATAGATTTTGCAGATCCACAATTTTGTAAGAATGACGAGGAGGGCAAGATCAACATATAGAGCAATAAACTCATGCCCAATTCACAAAAGGTCTGATACAAAATCGGTACAATTTGTGCTTGCAAAAATTTGAATGTGGTTTTTAATTAAAAAAGACTAAACTAGTGCAGTTAACTTCGACTATTAACATGACATTTTCTCATTAATGTACTAATCACTACTTTTAGAAGGTTGGCCAAATAAAACAATCTTTTAAAGTAAATACCTTGGAGAAGAAACATAACTATTATATTTCTATTAGCCCGCATTTTTCCGCTTTTGGTTTTTTTAAGAATAATACACCTATGAGGTTTAGTTATTTTGGCAACTGTTAACCATAGACATTAGTCACCAACAAGAAGCTCCATGAAGAAGGCAAGAGAAGTTAAGAATTTTAATCTATCTTGAAAAGAAAACATATATTTATAAATTTTTAGAGACATGAACAAACCAAATTCATTAACCTCTTATGTGAACTGTATTGTGAGTGCACCCGTAACTAGATATACNACAATCTTATAACTGTTTGGAACCGACTAAATAAATGGGTATAGGCATCAAAAATTACCTACAGATTCCCACACACAGGTCAAGATAGAGAAAATGCGATAAAAGTCATCATCTGAGTTGCAGGGGATCATCCAAAGCTAAAGATCAACTAAAGAATGCACAAGAAGCGCATCATGCAAATTTCAAGATGCAAAACATGTCTTAGAAGCATAAGAGGAACTCACAGTTTTCGAGACAGTTATAACTATTTCGGAAACTACGAGAAAACTTATAACTTTCGAGACACATACAACTGTCTCGGAAGCATGAAGAGAACACACAGTTTCCGAGACAGTTGCAACTGTCTCGGAAGCTATGAGGAAGACTATAGCTCCGAGACAGTTGCAACTGTCTCGGAAGCTATGAGGAAGACTATAGCTTCCGAGACACTTATAACTATCTCGGAAGCTAAGGTGATACAGATAACGGTTTTCTCGAGATTCACGCATGACACGTAGTTCCATAACTGCCAGAGATCGTATGGGAACGTGGGCAAGACGTTACAAGCGGAAATTATGTCAATAAATGCCCAAATAATGGCATTAAAACGTGTTTAAAGCAATTACAAAACGGCTGAGGAGAGTCACATTTTCGAGACGATTGTAACTGTTTCGAAAATGGGAAGCAACCCATGCTTCCGAGACAGTTACACCTGTCTCGAAAATAGGAGTTCCCCGAGATGATTTATTTTCAACTTCTGATGACAGTTATTGTTTCTAAAGGATATAAATACCCCCTAGGACCATTACTGACGAAGGGGGCATTCTAGAGCAGATTGAGCAGAGAGACTTGAGCAATTGGGCGAGTTCCAAGCAAGAAAGAGAGTCTTCATCACGTGCAACCTTTTTTCAGAGTTCTTGTGATTCATTGAGATCTAAGATTCGACTTGATCTTAAGAAGAGTGTTTATCTTACATCGATAAGATATTCACTTCCTTTTCATACTTCTAAACGAAGCAAGAATTCCCAAATAGCCTTCACGATTCAATCTAAATGTGTGATTCGGTGGTCCACGGGCTAACGCACCCCCGGCACTGGTAAAGATCCCACGCAAGCAGCGATCCAAAACGATCATACGTGTGTTTCTAAGGAGCATTTGTAATTTAATTTTGTTGTCAAGAGTAGTTTTACAAAGCACGAAGCTCACTCTTTTGTATTCATTGTAATCGATAAACAGTTATAATGAATTCTGCAACAAAACTTGTTCCTGACGCAAACAATGGGGTTGAACCATAAATCCCAAAACATCAGTTGCTTCTTGTAACTTGTTCGACAAAGTCCTCCCCCAATCGTGTTCCTAAAAAGTAATTCTCTAATCAACTTTTTCTAATGTTAGAGAAAGCTCCCAGCCTCTAGTTCAAAAACATTATTTTGAGTGTGTAATTGCTTTATTATTTTTCATAGTAAGTGTTCTATAACAGTTTCATGACAAACTAAGGTATCCTATGACCATTAACAAGATATCATCTTGCATGTTGCATATGAAAGTGCTACTACTAACGGATTTTTTTTTTTTTTGGATGGGACATGCCTAACCAATTTTATTAACAACTACGACGTGACTTGGAGTGGACTGAGATTGCATCCCTAGGTGTACCCAAATCAACTCTTCACGATGTTACGGAAAGTTCCCTAACTCTACTTCAACAACATTAGTTTAAAGTGTGTAATGGCACAATACAGGGATATTTTCCATTATATTTCCTGTTTGTGTTGCGAGTGCACTAATAAATGTATCCTTCTATTTTTGCATACATTTCTGCAGCTCGTACGCACATCACTTTTCCATCTCTCTTCTAGAAATATAAAGTCAATGATAAACCAAACTTTTAGTGCGTTTAGGTTTTATAAAATAGTCCAAGATTAGCTAGGATTTAACAATTTAGTTTAACAATAAAAATTACAACGCAAGCCTTTTAGTCTTCTCTTTTATTCAGGGTATATATATTCTCATGAATTGAACTTGGATATCCAATTGATACGCATAATTGCAACATTATCGACTACGTCAAATTTGGCAACAAGAGAAACAAGAAACAGTGTAACAATCAAGGTTTAAGTCAACCGAGGGAAAAAAATCAAAAACCCCCACCAAAAAAATGAAAAATAAATAAAAAATCAAGTAATTCAAGAACACAAATTTGAACCCCCAAATTCAAACTTCCCCCGAGAAATAAAATCCCCCCCAGAAATCTAAATGATGGGGGGTCCGAGTGGGATTACCTCCGCAAAGAGAATCCATTAGAGCCACCGAGATCCTTCTTCAAACCGCTGCGAG